AAATATCGTTTTATCGACTCGCGACCCCCTCCCCCCATTCTTGAAAGCGTTTTTAATGGAAGTGATCCAGGTCGTCCTTCGTCTTCCGTCTTTCTCGTTCCTTCTTTCTCACGATTCACGGAGCGTTGCTTCGAGTGTTATCGATTTTATAATTATCCGTTTATGATTACAAGATCCGTTTTCCGTGATCCCGATTCTTTTTTTCTTCCCCCGATTGCGATTAAATTCGCGTTTCCAGCCCGGGTTTCCAACACCCGAAGGTGAATTACAGCTCATCCAGATGCCTGGCCGATGTGAGATACGCTAATGGATTGCTCTCTACGTGATTCTTGATTTCGTAATTACCGAGTATTCCTTCGTTTTTTGAACCACTTTTGTTGGAATTGAATTGAAATCGTTCAGATTTTCTCTGGATTTTGCATCGTTTGTCTGAGTTTTTTTTGAAAGGGAAAGGGAGTACTATGGTATTGTTTGAATCTTGGAAAAATGATGGTAAATGATAGTTGAATCGCATTGAATTTTACATGGAACAAAGAAGAAGAATTATTTTGAACATTTTTGTACGAAAGAAAGTTCTTGTATTTTTTTTTCTTTTCTCTTCTTTTTTAATTCTGAACAGGATACATGTTCAGATCGCAATTAGGACAGAGAGAATTTGTTGTATTTCGTGTATTAAAGGAATTTCATCTGTATAGAATGTGTAACACCACTGATGCGAAATGTCATGTTGAACTATGGATTGATTGGCGAGTCTATTCTTCCGCGTCAGATCAAAGCACAAGCTCTTTCTATTTTCTGTTCATTTGATCGATATTGCAATCTTTGTGTCGGGATATATATACCATGTGTATGTATATATATTATAACAATCTTGTGTATCGGGAATTGAATACAATAGAACATATGTTTGATTAAATTTTCTTTTTCATTCTCCAATCGTTGGGAGTCCCGTTTCAATCAAATTCGACAGATATCCATTCTGCAATTTCTTCTTCAATTATATCATTTTTCGTGTATTTACTTTTTTATTCATCGACGTGCGGTTTAAATATTTAATTTGGCAAAAGATATTGCACGAAGTTAAGATATTCGATTTATGTAAAATAATTTTGATATCTTTTATTGTGCATTCCATTTTTTATTTACTTTTATTTTAATTTATAATTTTTACTGTCTAATTTGATAGATGTTATTACGAACCACAGAAATAACGATCTGTTTTTGTCGTTTAAATCTCATTTTTTAAATTGGATATATTATTACATTTAAATTTTTTAAAATAAATTTTCATTAGTCTAAATTCTAATTCTTAAATTTCAAACAGTTATTCTTTCCTTGTATTCATCAAAGGAAATGTAATTAATATATTAATGCAATAAGATAATAAAAATATTTTCCAAGGAATCAGCATCCACATTCTCGTTTTCGTTGATCCATGATTCTTTTCTTCGTGAACAGTGTTCGATTCAAGCAATAATTAATCTTGCTTGCCAAAAAATATGTATATTGGAAAGGACGAAAGAGGAATGTAATTAAAGTATCAGTCGCCAAACGATATCACGCCTTGTCGTATCACGATTGTGTTTTTTTTTTCCTCGACTAAAATCGATCGATCGTTTATTAATGCCAGAAAATAGAAAAATTTTCGTTGACGAGCGTATCATAATTCTTCATTAAAAGGCGTTAAAAACCGATATTGCGTGCCAAAATTTCGTAGAATTTCATATCACTCTCGTAATTACGAGCCATTGTCTTGAAAAGCCCTTAAAAATTATCGATTGGATCGTGTGGTGAAGTCGTAAACACGGTTTTTTGAATCCGTTATTAATCGTAATTTGATCAATTTCTTTCGAGTAAGAGATTTGATACGAAGATCGCTTTATTTTTTTTTTTTTTTTTTTTTTGAA